GGGGGGGGGGGGGATCAGAAAGAGTGTCTTGCGGAAGGTGGGACTTGAGCTGAGATTTGCAGGAAGCCAGGAGGTAGAGGAGGGAGAGCCTTCCCTGAATGGAGGACAGGCAGTGAAAATGGATGGAGCTGAGAGATGGGTCTCATTGCAGAACAGCAAGGAGGCAGGCATCACTGGGTCAGAGTGATTCTGTGGGGTGAGGGTAAAGCGTAAGACTAGAAAGATAGAAAGGGGCCAGCTTACGAAGGGCTTTAAATGCCAAACAAAGGATTTCATATGGAACCACAAAGTTAATATGTAACCTTATATGAGCTTATCTGTAACCTTAAAACTCATTGGCATGGGACTCTCTCCTTACTGGTGGAGACCAATGCCCAAGGCCAAGACAGAGTTGTCCAGAGAAGAGAGATCCAGTCTCTTCAAACTTGTGATTTTCTTCAGGCTTCCCAGCTTGAGAGAGAAGCTGTGTGATATCAACCTCTCTTCAGGTTGTTGAAGGGAGAAGACTCTGGGCTGATATGAGAGGAGCTGGCAGTCTCCATCATGTCTCTATCCCCAGCTTGCTACTGCTACACTAGAGACTTTAGGGAATTTCCCCTTTGAGTGAGATCTGGGACTGATAAATATTCTCTCTCTCTCTCTCTCTCTCTCTCTCTCTCTCTCTCTCTCTCTCTCCTCTCTGTCTCTACCTCTCTCTGTCTCTCTCTGCCTCTCAATCTGTATTATCTGCTATATATTTTCATACGTATACTTTCTCTATTTCTGTTTTGCTAGAATAAATGGGTTTCTTTGCTATTTGCTATGTGTGTTCATTATAGGACTAATATTTGGGGCTCCCCTTTACCTGTTAAAAATAGTGTTCAGAAGATTAGCTCTAACCTTAAAATTACATTCCCTAGAGTAATAATATTTAAGGGGGCAGATAGATATCATTCTAGCCCAGTACCCTCTTTCTCCAAGGAGAGAAGAGGGGCTAACTTTTGATCTCAACATCCTTCTTTCCCTCCAGGCAGTAACCAAAGCCTTCCTTGGAGAATGGCAAGGAGAGGAGATACTAGAGATTCTCAAACCACCCACAACACGCCCCCTGCTACATATATTTGATCCTGGAGGTAACAGTGAAGCACTGAATTTTATTAAGGGGGGAATGACATGGTCTGATCTGTCTTTTAATGAGATCACTTTGAAGCTAAGTGGACAATGGACTGGAATGGAAGAGCCTTGAGGCAGGGAGATCATTAACCATTAACCAGGCTTTTGGAATAGTCGAGGCATGCCCAGGGTAGTCACAGTATCAGAGATTTATCAGAGGAGTGTCGCTCCTCTCATAGAGGCAGGCTCCTCCAAGACTAAACTGGTTCAACCACAGGCCTGAGCATAGAGAAAGAGAGGCCCCCTCGAGCCCTAGAGTGGAGACCAGAGTGCGACAATACTCCAGTCCCTGCGGGCCCAGAAATGCTTCTCCCAAGTTAGTCTATATTCACTATATTATGTATTCTGGGTTAAGTAAACTTTATATTAAGCAAAATTATTTATGCTTCCTTTTACCTGCAAAAACATTGATATCAGATTTTTTTCACTAGATCTAGCCAAACTCACATACTCTCGAAGTACTGACTCAGAGAATTCCTTGGTGACAAACCACATAGTTACTATGCCTGATGCCACAGTAAGGTCCTAATGGCTGGTCTTCCTAAATAAAAAAAGGAGAGAACAAGATCTAACATCCTTCAGACCTGTGGCTAGGGGAAGAATTCTTAACCTGACAAGGGATAAAGGAGATTAGTCAGTCAGTCTATAAATATTTGGCACTATGTGCTTGGCACTATCCTAAGCACAGAGAATGCAAATCCAAAAAAGATAGTCTACAGTCCCTGCCCTCAAGGAGCTTACAATCTAATGGGGGAAGTCAATACAGAAAAAGAAGTTGAAAAGGGGAGGACAGAAGGTATCTGAGGATAGAGTTCAGTCCAAAGGAGTTGTACACAGTAGGGAATGAAGAGATGGCTGTCCTTCCTGGAAGCTTTCTTGAAATGGAGGCTTTGGGATGAATTCTTTGCTTCCTTCTCCAACTTCCCATAAGAAACTATAAAACAGACAATTTTGACTACATTTAATTAAAAAAGTTTTTGCACAAACAAAATCTATGAAGAAAACAGAAGGGAAATAGCAAAGTGGGAAAATGTGTGTGTATGTGTGTGTGTGTGTGTGTGAGCCTGTGAGGGTGTATGCAGCAAGGTGGCACAGTGGATAGAGCACCAGGCCTGGTGTCAGGGAGACCTGAGATCAAATTTAGCCTCAGACATTTACTAGCTTTGTGATTCTGGGCAAGTCACAATTATATTTACCTCATGAAGAGTTGGACACAACTGAAAAACTACTTTACAATATATGTATGTTTGTGTGTGTAGGTATGTATATATACATGCATACACATATATACATATATATGCAAAATGTAGATATACACACACCTTCAAGATATATATGTACATACACATATATTAATATACATTAAAGGGTTTGGTGTTTTTTTTAGGCAATCAGGGTTAAGTGACTTGCCTATGGTCACACAACTAGTTAAGTGTCAAGTGTTTGGTCTGAGGCCTAATTTGAACTCAGGTCCTCCTGACTTCAGGGCCTGTGCTCTATCCACTGTGCCACCTACCTGCCCCTTATATTAAAGGTTCACAAAGACAAATTGAGAGAAATGTTGGCTCTCGACCTAGAAAGGCACCAATCCTCAGAGCCCAGCAGAAAGCTACACCATGGGGAACTTCATGAAGTCTCTGAGAAAGGTGAGAAAGGACTCTCAGAGCCAGGAGCCAGGAATCAGGAGGGTGTCTCTTGGCCATGAGTTCGATTTTCCACTTTAAACTGAGTCCACTCTCTCCAGGGACCTTGTTCCGTGCAAGTAGAGACTATGCCTTTCATTTGGAGGAATTGTTTTGTAACTACTCTTAGTGTGATACCCCCTCAGTAAACATCCTTTGTAAAAGCTAACAGAGTTCAAGCCGGAGGCAGTGGCTCTAGGATGGGTGAGGAAGGCAGGCCTTTGTGTCTTCCTTTTCATGCGGTTTGGGCAGAGCTCAACTTCAGAGCCTCAGGATGGACAGAATTTGATTGATTCTATTCTCACTCCCTCTTTGCACTCCATTCCCCAGTATCCCAGTTTCTTTTCATCTGAATAGGCACACAGACCGAGCACCAGCTCTGCCTTTATGGATGAGTTAGGGACTGTGGGGATACAAGAAGGCAGATGATGTGGCCCTGGAGTGACCAGACTAAGAGCCTATGACACTGTTAGAGAACCTTATAAATCAGAATATGAAAGGGAGAGAAAGTGAATCGTTCAGACTGCAAGAGATGTCATTGAACACAGGAATTGGTCCGACCATTCTGGTAGGCAGTTAGGAATTATGCTAAGACTGTGACTGAAATGTCCTTACCCAATGAGAAAAAGAAAGGCTCCAATTACGCAAAAATCCTTACAGCACCATTTTTTGTAGTACCAAAGTATTGGAAACAAAATAGACACCCGAAGTGAATGAATGCTAACTACTCCTTTTCTCTAGGGGTAACCTTGACAATCCCTGCAGTTTCTAGTACTATTACTCATAGGCACCGGTCCAGCAGCCTTCCCTAGTCTTAGCTTTGGCTTCGGTGCTAGTCACTGTGACTCAGCAGAATCTGAGACCCAAAGAAGCAAACAAATTCTCTCTGCTGTTTTTAAAACCTTATTTTATCCTTTGTTAGTTACACCCATCATTTCCCAGAAAACATCCTTCCCTCTGCCCTTTCCCCCAGAGAGCTATCCCTAGTAACAAAGCAGTAAAAAGAAAGGGGGAAAAAATAAAAAGAAATTTAGCAAAACCAACCATCAGTTACCTCCCCTTTACTTCCCAAAGTGACAGGTTTGGGGGCTGGGGGTTACGGGCCACTTCTCCCCTTGTCCTGGGGCACCAGAGAAGCCCCATAGGGCGCTATCACAGAGCGCTCCATCACACTGACCACTCTTAAGGTCCCAGGTTGATCCTGAACAGAGACAGTGGCATCCCAATCTAGCAAGGCAGCACCCCCGCCCCCCCCAATCCTGCTGCCCTGACAACTAACCTGGGATCACTCCACCCCACAGACACACACAACCCAACTACCAGGGTCGTTCATACACGACCCCCAGTCTGCCAACTAACCCAGGGACACATACACACAACTAGTTGTACCTTTCCCTCTGCCCTTCCCCTTCCTTCTCTCTCGGTCCCCCTCCCCTCCCTCTGCTTTTCCTTCTCTCTGTCCCCTTCCCCTTTCTCTCCTGTGCCCCCCCTTTCCTTTTCCCTTTCTCTGCTCCCTTTCCCTCCCTCTCTTTCCTCTCTCCCCACTTCTCTTTTCCTCCCCACCCCTCTGTCCCGGGATAACTCCGCCCACTAAACATTGGGAATTCATTCAGTCCGCGGTCCGATCCTGCCTGCTGACTTCCTACTCCAAGTGGGCTGGACGTGGACGCAGAACTAACCGCGTAGCGTAGACGCCGCTCACTGCCTGGGTCGGGATTCTTGGCGAATCGGCTGGTATCTGGAAGCTGCGTTTGCCCCGCTCTGCAGGACTGATGGCGGGTGAGTGTCTCCCCTCTCCTCCCTTGCCCTCCCGGTCCTGCCCTGGGCAGTGGCCCCTTCCTTCCCAGAGACTTCACCAAGTTCCCCGTGGGTGTAGCTTTCTGCTTGGCTCTGAGGATTGGTACCTTTCTAGGTCTGGAGCCAACGTTTCTCTCAATTTGTCTTTGCAAACCTTTAAGGTACATTCATATATGTGTATGTATATATATCTTGAAGGTGTGTGTATATGTACATATTTGCATGTGTGTATACACATGGACACACACACACACACACCCCCATATAGTTTAGTGGTTTTTCAGTTATGTCCAACTCTTCATGACCCCATGACCTGGAAAGTCAACCCTCCCATGAAATGGCATGCCCAGGAGGGCTATACTCTTTTTTCTTTTACCGGGGACTAAACTGGCATTATTTAAGTCTGTCCCACCCTCCTCTATAATTTCAACCTAACTTTTCAAAATAAAGGATTAAAGGAATGGGATGCTGTAGGTATTTATTCAGTCATTCTTGACCGAAGGAAACTTTGAGAACGACCTCTGTTTTTTCTCATATAATCTCAGGAATTTTAGAATTGGAGAGACCTTAGTAGTTCAACCCCCTCAATTATTATTATTATTATTATTATTATTATTATTATTGTTAGGAGTGATTTGGAGCAAGTAAAATAGAATTATTGATGTCTTACATTTCTTCTTTTGAAATCGGTGTCCTTTGCCCATTCACATCCTGGAGAATAGCTCTTTACCTTAAATATTTTCATCAGTTCCCCATGTTTCTTGGCTATCAGACTTTTGTTTGAAGTGTTTGATGAGAAGATTCCCTTCTCCCCCCCCCCCCCCCCCCACACTGTACACTTTTTTATTCCACCTACATTTATTTTTGTTTGTGCAAAAGCTTTAAAATTTTATGTAGTTGAAGGACCTGGATTCAAATTCTGCTTTTAACCTATTGTGTGACCCCTGGATCCTTGTAACAAAGAAAAACTACTTATTCAGTGACTAATGCATGAGATGTTCTACCTCCAAGTCTGCTGTCTAGAGGAGGTAGTGCCACACCATCCTCTTTCTTGTTGGAATAAGATTGGCTATTGCAATTTTTCGGAGTTTGGCTTCTTTGGTATCAGTTTTTTGTCACCTTCATTATTAGTAGTCATTATGTGTATCATCCTTCTGGTCCTGCTTAGCTCACATCTATCTTCCCATGTTTCTCCAGTTTCCTCACAGTTGTCATTTTCTGCACAATTTTACATAACATTCATATATCACCATTTGTTCATTCATTTACGACTTGTTCCAAATATTGGTCTTTTCTTTACCAGTACCAGATGTTTTTCGATGGTTATTGCTTTGCTAATTTTATTTTAGTTCTCTCTTCCTCCAGTTCCTCCGGCAGCCGTTCTGGGGTTGGGGCAATTTCCTGATTTGAGCATCCTGGAGACACCTTAAACTCAACAGGTCCAAAACTGAATTCATTATCTTCCTGTCTCCCCTCCCCACCCCACCCCCAACCCTCCCTTCTCTCTAACTTTCCTCTTACTGTAGAGGGCTCCACCACCCTCCCAGTCACCCAGCTTGAAACCCAGGTGCCATCCTCAACATTCTTTCCCACTTTCCATAGCCAATCTGTTGCCAAGTTCAATCGATTTTACTTTGTAACATATCTGCCAAACTATTGCAGTAATCTGTGGTTTGGTCCCCTTGCCTCAAGTCTCTCCCCACTCCAGTCCATCCTCCACTCAGCTGTCAAATTAATCTTCCCAAAGCATGAATCTGACCATGTCACCCACCACCCCCATTTAGTAAACTCCAGTGACTCCTGATCTCTTCCAAATCAAATATAAAATTATATTTGGCATTCAAAACCCTTCACAACCTGCCCCCCGCCCCCACAACTGCCAGTCTTCTTACACCTTACTCCGGGACATCTGGGATCTGGGATCCAGGAATATTGAGCTCCTTGCTGTTCCTCAATCTAGACCCTCTATCTCCCCACTGTGGTCATTTTCTTTCTTTCTTTTTTTTTTTTTTTTTGGGTAGGCAATGGGGTTAAGTGACTTGCCCAGGGTCACACAACTAGTAAGTGTTATGTGTCTGAGTCCGAATTTGAACTCAGGTCCTCCTGAATCCAGGGCCGGTGCTCTATCCACTGTGCCACCTAGTTGCCCCAACTGTGGTCATTTTCACTGGCCGTCTCCCATGCATAAAATGCTGTCCCTCCTCATCTCTGTTTTGTGGCTTCCTTCAAGTCCCAGCTAAAATCTTCCCCAATCCTCCCAATTGCTAATATCTTCCTTCTTTTGATTACATCCTTTTTACCCTGTATGTATCTTGCTTGTACATAGCTGTTTACATGTTGTTTCTCCCATTAGACTGTGAGGCTCTTAAGAGCAGGGACTGTCTTTTGTGTTTTTTTTTTTTTGTATCTCTAGTGCTTAGCATATAATAGGAATTTAATAAATGCTTATTGTTTTTTTTTTTTTAAAGTGAGGCAATTGGGGTTAAGTGACTCGCCCAAGGTCACATAGCTAGTACATGTCAAGTATTTGGTCTGAGGCCGGATTTGAACTCAGGTCCTCTTGACTTCAGGGCCGGTGCTCTATCCACTGCGCCACCTAGCTGCCCCATGCTTATTGATTGACTGACTGACTGGGTGCTCTCACACACAGGTGGTCCTGCATTTCTTGAATGTCTTCCTTCCTGACCTGCCTTCTCAGAGCCCTCAGCTTCCTCCAGAGGACAAATGGAGTACTTCCCCCTTCATTTCCCTTCCTCATCCCCCCAACTATTAACGTTCACCCCCTCTTAATCTTACTTTACATTAAGAGAGAAACAGAGACAGAGAAAGAGAATCAGAGAAAGACAGAGAGAGAGAGAAAGACAACTCGATTTAAGTACAAATGAAATGATTGAATAATTTAAACAGTGACTTGTCTCTTCTTTTTCCTTCTGGGTCTACCTGTATCTAATTTAGCCAATGAACAGGGGAAATCCAATTTGATTTTCTTTATGCAATGTAGAATGTATTTTGGAATGTTTATTATTAAAGAATTGAAACAAGCCAATGGGGAAAAAACCAACAACTTTTCAGCCCTTTGCAAATTAAACTGTACAGGCAACTCAAAACATGACTAATGTGAAAATAAATGACAAAGTAAATAGCTATTGGCCATAACATGCCTGCATTTTGTCTAGTGTTGAAATCCGTGATTGCGTGAATAAAGAAGCCAGGTGGGCTGGAGAGGGAGCTGCAGATCCTTTTGGTAGTCAAAGGCATTTTCCCTTTTCCAGGTCCTACATTTACCTCTTTTGTCCCCCTATTTAAAAAAAAAAGAATTTAAAAATCCACTGAACTTAAGTGATTTTCAAATTCAGCAGAGGGAATGCTGGACTTGGAGCTGAGAAGACCGTGGTTCAAATCCTGCCTTAGTCACTTATTAGTTGTGTGACCTGAGGCACCTCACTTCACCTGTAGGGGCCTCCGTTTCCTCATTTATAAAATAAGAGTTAGACTCTGGTTTCTAAGTTTCCTTCCAACTCTAAATCTATGACCCTATAACCTGGACAGAATCTGGAATTCCTCAATATTTATCATACTGTGTTGTTGTTGTTGTTCAGTTGTTTAGTAGTGCCTGACTCTTTGTGACTCCATGGAACATAGAGCACCAGGCCCTTCTATCCTCTACTGTCTCTTGAAGTCTATCCAAGTTCATGGTCACTGTTTCCCTTGCTACAAAAGGCTGCAATTAAGCGTGGATATATATACACATAGGTAGATATCTATAAACATATATACACATATACACTCATACACAGCTATGTAAGACTGTACTATGCCTATTTCCACTTGTTATCTGTTTCTCTGAAGGTGAATAGCATCTTCCTTCATAAGTTCAAGTCTTCCCATTTTTTCTAAATCGAAGTTCATCACTTCCTACACCACAGCAATATTCCAACCCAATCACATCCAATCTGAGAGATTGTCTATGAAAGTTTCCCCCCGATTTTCTGTATCCCTTCTATTCTTGGCTGCATAGGTTTTATTTATACAAAAAAAATTTTAATTTAAAATAATCAAAATTATCCATTTTATACTTCAACAATGCCTTCACCTTAAAATATGTATAATATTGCTGACACATACTGTAATGTCCCTGTTTTTCTCTTTTGATTAATCTATTTTAGCTTTAGCTTCATCTGAGATCATGATTATTACCCCTTCTTTTTTTACATAATAAATTCTACTCCTGACTTTTATTTTATCTTTGTGTGTATCTCTCATTTTTACAGCATTTCCTGAAAGGAACATACTGTTGAATTCAAATTTTTAATCTATCAGTTTCCATTTTATGGGTAAATTCACCCCATTCACATTCTAACCTATCATTACTTGTTGTATGTGTTCCTCCTTCCTATTTTTCCTCTCTATCCTTCTCACCCTATTCCTCTACTTCACTTCTTCCCACTACCTTGCTTTCCTATTCCTTAACCTACCCACCCCTCCAAGAGTCTCTCCTTTATCCTCTCCCCCCACCCTATCCTCTTGCTCTCTTTATTTCTTTCTATATTTAGAAGACTTTTATACCCTTCTAGATGTAGATGTTGTTCCCTCTTTAACCCATTCCCAATCCATCACTACCTACCCTTCCCCCACTAGTTTCTTCTGTATCAACTTTTCCTTATATGCCTCATTTGTATGAGATAATTACTCCTTTTTCTCTCTCCCTACAGTTTTAATTTTTTTAGAATCACCTCATCATACATAATCATTGATTCTTATGGTACAATAGTATTCCATGACATTTGGCTGCCATAGCTTATTCAGCCATTTTCCTTTAGTTGGGCACCTTCCCTGGCATGTTTGTTTACCAATGTTGTGATCTGAGTAAGCTATCTGTGAACTACTCTGGGTCAAGGGAATAATTCATCCTGGTTTTGACAACTGAAGCCAAGGCTCTGAAAAAATATATATGTATTGAGTAATATGGCAATGTTTTACATGACTGCACATGTATATAATCTGTATTCAAAGAGAGGGGAGGGGAGAGAGGACAGGAGAGAATATGGAACTCAAAATTTCAAACAAAGAGCTTACGTTCTCTGAGGCACATATGACGTCTTGATTAACCCAGTGATCTCTATGGCTCTACTGGCTGGCTCACGCCAGCGGAAACACCGCTGGCTGGTCACTCATTACTTCTGTGTTTCCTGTGATGTCTTTTACAGGCAAGAAAGCACTGATAGTTCTGGCTCACTCAGAGAAGACGTCGTTCAACTATGCCTTGAAAGAAGCCGCTGTGGAGACTTTAAAGAAGAAAGGCTGGCACGTCACAGTGTCGGACCTGTATGCCTTGAATTTTAATCCGTTGATCTCCAAAAAGGACATCACAGGTACCTGGTCTGTTACTCTCTTTGGGCTGAGCCCTCTGGACCTAGTACTGTCTCCTGTGGGCCACCACTTTCTGAGTCCCCCTTCTCCTTCCTTCTTCAGGTGGCCTAAAGGACCCTGACAACTTTCAGTATACAACTGAATCTGTTCAGGCTTACAAGGAGGGGAGGCTGAGCTCGGACATTGTCGCTGAACAGAAGAAGCTAGCAGATGCAGATCTTGTGATATTTCAGGTATTGGACTGGGAGAGGGGGAGCAGTATGGGGAAACTGGCTTCTTCCATTAATGTCCAGCTTGTTTTTCATTATCTGTGTGATCTTTTTTTTTTTTTTTGGCTAGACAATGGGGTTAAGTGAGTTGCCCAGGGTCACACAGCTAGTAAGTGTTATATGTGTCTGAGGCCAGATTTGAACTCGGGTCCTCCTGAATCCAGGACCAGTGCTCTATCCACTGCGCCACCTAGCTGCCCCTATCTGTGTGATCTTAAGCAAGCCCCATCCCATGTTGTATCAGGTTCCTCTTCTATAAAATGGGACCAATATCACCTGCTCCACCTACCTCAAAGAACCTTTGTGAGGATAGAATGAGATTGTATGTAAAAGTGCTTGATCATATAATCATAACTACTGATAATTGTATAATCCTTTGAAGTTTGCAAAGTCATTTAACATGCCCTGTATCATTAGAGACTCACAAAAACCCTAGGAAGTAGGCAGTGTAGGTATTATTATCTCTGTTTTATAGATGATAATGTATGTGTTGTTCAGTCATTTCAGTTGTGTCTGACTCTTTGTGATCCCATTTGGGATTTTCTTGACAAAGAAACTGCAGTGGTTTGCCTTTACCTTTTCCAGTTCATTTTATAGATGAGGAAACTGAGGCAAACAGGAATAAGTGACTTGGCCAGGGTCACATAGGTAGTATATGAGGCTGGATTTGAATTCAGGTCTTCTTGACTCTAGACCCAATTGCTCTCTATCTACTGTGCCACCTAGCTGCCCTAAGATCATGTAGTTTAGTGGATAAAGAGCTGGCCTCAAACCCAGGAGGAACTGAGTTTGAATCCATCCTATTTTTTTTTCTTTGTATGAACAGTGCAGGAAACTTCTGGCGTGAAAAGTTCATTCACTGAAACAGATTAACAACCTGCTGGCAACCTATCTTTTAAATTAAATTTTATTTTATTTTCAAAGATATGCCTTCACTCCTTCCACATCCTCTCCACGTTGAGAAAGCAAGAAAAACAAAACCCTTGCTACAAGCATGTATAGTCAAGCAAAACAAATTCCCACATTGACCATGTCCAAAAAATACATACCCACATATATAATATTAATACATATATAGTGTGTATATCTACATATATATGTAGATATACACATGCACATATACATGCATGCATGCATGCATGCATTCTTTCCCTCACCTACCTCGTGGTGGGCAGTATGTTTCATCACAGGTCCTTTAGAATTTGGTTGGTTGTTGTGGCAACCTGTTTTCTGAAAGAACTACCTAGGACACTGAAAGCTCAATCATAATGACTGTATGACCTTGGACAAGTCACTTAACTTCTCTGAGACCGTGGCAACTCTTTGACAATATAAAATACCATGATGACCAACCATGATTTCTTTGGAGAGCTTTGCTTCTCTTTAAGACTGTAAGCTGCAGAGAAGGAGGAAGGAATTTCCTCATCCTCCCCCTGGAATCACTGGTAGTGACTCTATCCCTTTTTATTTGCAGATGAGGAAACAGGCTCAGAGAGATTCTTTGACTTATATGGTCAACCAAATAGTAAGAGGCAGGATTTAAACCCGGGTCTTCCTTGCGCCAAATCCAACATTTTATCCACTGTACAGTGCAACCTCTTAATATGATGTCAAGTGGTACTACTTCCTATATATTACATGTCTATGCATATTTGAAGATGACAGCTGAGTGCCTGGCTATTCATGTGTATGGATGAGATTGACTGAAGTTTCATAAGGGACAGCTAATTTTCCCCGTGGTAGCTTATGAGTGTAATGACCATTGATTTCCCATTCGTAATGGGGTCTGATGATGCGTGCAGTTTTCCCTCTCTCTGTTTCCTGGGATGTTTGTGGTCTACCTACAACAAATTACTTCATCTCTATTTCATAATCCATTGACGCAGAGGATAGTGTTGGATTTGCAGTTAAAAAGAAGGGGATTCAAACATCATTTTGGACACTTACTAGCAGTGTAATCCTAGGCAAGTCATTTAACCTCTTTCTGCCTTGGTTTCCTCACCTGCAAAATGGGAAGAATAGTACCCACAACCCTTAGCCCACAGGGTTGTTGTAAGGATCTCATGAAATAATGCATGCAGGGGCAGGTAGGTGGCGCAGTGGATAGAGCACCAGCCCTGAAGTCAGGAGGGTCTGAGTTCAAATCCAGCCTCAGACCAAACACTTGACACTTACTAGCTGTGTGACCCTGGGCAAGTCACTTAACCCCAACTGCCTAAAAAAAAAAAAAAGAAAAGAAATAATGCATGCAAAGGCTTTGCAAACCTTAAATCACCATATCCATGTCGATTATTATAATTACATCTTAAGAGAGAGGCCTTTTGGGAGGCATTTCCCTCGGTCCTTGAAGAGGTAGGTACCTCTGGTAACATAGTCTGAACCTCTCTGTCTCTCTTTTCTTAACCACAGCTCAATCTTACTTCCTCTTTCTCTTTTCCATGCTTGCCCCTGGGCTGCTGAGGCTTTCCACCTCATTTCTTGTTATCCCCCCTCTTTCCTCTCTGTTGCCAGACGTTTGAGATCCCTCTCTTCTGAGACTGGGTCGATATTGTATAAAGGAGCTAAGAGGCATGATGGGGTTTCTTCAGTCTGTGTGAACATTCTGCCTGTCGACCGTCGCTCAGATCCATCGGAGGGCTTATCACACATAATATAAAGCCTGTGATTGATTGATTGAGACTCGGCATTTTGTTCTTGCTGTATATGGTGGTGTGTGTCTGACCTGAATGGTTTTCTCAATCAACACTCCCCCGACTCTTACGTTAGCTACAGCTATTGCTTCCCAGTTAAATCTGTTCAGTTGTTTTTCAGTCATTGTCTGACTCTTTGTGACCCCATTCAGGGTTTTCTTGACAGAGATACCAGAGTGGTTTTCCATTTCCTTCTCCAGCTTATTTGACAGATGAGGAAACTGAGGCAAACAGGGTTAAATGACTTGCCCAGGGTCACACAGTGTCTGAGGCCAGATTTGAACTCAGGAAGATGAGTCTTCCTGACTCCAGGCCTGGCACTCTGTGCACTATGGTTCCCCCTCGCTGCCCTCTCCTTCAGTAGGTTTTCTTAACACTTCTTTCTGAAACCTCTTCTCCTGCTGTAGCCTGCTGTGCTAGAGCTGCGAGAACATGCTACTCGTAAATCTGTCATTTGTGCTCACAAGACTACCCTTGGGGGCAGCTAGGTGGCGCAGTAGATAGAGCACCAGCCCTGGATTCAGGAGAACCTGAGTTCAAATTTAGCCTCAGATCAAACACTTGACACTTACTAGCTGTGTGACCCTGGGCAAGTCATTTAACCCCATTGCCTAACCAAAAAAAAAAAAAAGACTACCCTCAATGACTCCATGTTACTGATCCAATCTTGCCTTTTGAGGTTGAGAATAGGACCTCGATGACACTGGCAAAATTTCTTAGGAAAGGGGAGGGGAGTCAGCATTTATTAAGCACCTATTATGTGTCGGGCATTGTGCTAAGCACTTTTACATTATAGTATTTGATCTTTTCTAGAAGACTGTTGTTCTCTGAGGCATTCCCAGGTCTTTTAATCATACAATAGATTGCAGAAGACCACTGCCCTCTCATTCTTTTCCTTGCTCTGAAGCCTGCTGCCATATATGTATGCCTCATAGTCAGTCTCCACAGAATCACAGAATGTCAGAGCTGGAAGAGATCTCGGTGGTGGTGGCCATTCGGTCTAACTCTGAGCAAGAATCCCCTCCATGACACACCCAGCAAATGGGTGAACTACCTGACGACTTCCATTGAAGCAGCCTCTGCTACCCCTTTCACAGCACATTTGACTTGGGAACGGGTCTAAATGGTTGTGAGTTTTTCCTGATCTCAAGCCTCAATTTGTTTCTTTGGAAGTCCCACTCCTAGTTCTACTCTCTGGGGCTAAATTGTTGTTGTTTTTTTGTCCTTTGTTTCAAAGAGTACCAGTGACATCATGGGGTGATGTCTTTTTTTTTCTTCTTTTTTTTTTCTTTTTTTTAGGCAATTGGGGTTAAGTGACTTGCCCAGGGTCACACAGCTAGTAAGTGTCAAGTGTTTGATCTGAGGCCGGATTTGAACTCAGACCCTCCGGACTTCAGGGCCGGTGCTCTATCCACTGAGCCACCTAGCTGCCCCTTTTTTCTTCTTTTTGATGAGGCAATCGGGGTTACACAGGTCACACAGCTAGTAAGTGTCATGTGTCTGAGGCTGGATTTGAACTCAGGTCCTCCTGACTCCAAGGCCAGAGCTCTATCTACTGCACCACCTAGCTGCCCCCAACGGGGTGATGTCTTGACTCACTTGAATTGGATTTAAGTGAGGCAGAGCTGCAAAAAGTCATCAGCTTCAGTCTGTCTTCCAGAGTCATGGAAGTCCAGTGGCAAGACAAGTCAGGACGACTTGTCCTGGCCAGTGGATGACCTTGGCATCTTTGATGTCTGACTAAGCTCTAAGCTGCCTTTATGGCAGTTGGAACAAATTGTTCTTATCCATCCCTTCCTCCAGGGAAAGCCTTCCCATGCTTGGGGTGGACAGCTCCCTACCTCACCAATGAGTTTGAGGCTTCTGGGGCTAAAATAGGACAAGGTTAAATCACCCTTCCATGGGATAGCCTTTTGAACACTCAAATACAACTAACATGCACCCTGAGCCTTTCCTTCTTCAGGTTAATTGTTTCAGGTTCCTTCAGCCTATCCTCATATATATGGCTTTAATATCCATCATCATCCTGGTTATTCTGCTCTGGCAACTTTCCATCTTATTGGTGTCCCTTCTAAGCTGTGGTGGTCGTAATTACACAAAGAACTCCAGATTGGCTCTGACCAGATCAGGGCATTCATTAAATGCCTACTGTGTTCTAGACGCTGTGTTTGACTCTCAGGATACACATACAAAGAATTAAATAATTCCTACTCACAATGTGTGTATATTCCAATGAGGGAAATGTCAACTACATATAGCATATTCAGAATAAAT